CCCCCCCCCCCACAGTTCCCTGCCTTCCCAATTAGATCACAGATCTAACCTATTGGCGATTAACGCCCTGAGCAGTAATAAGAAGTTGTACATAAGTTCGTTGCGGTCAAAAGTCAGCCCTAATTTCTGTTGGGTGATCTGTGCATTATTGGGTGTCCTCTGCAATTAATAAGCGAGGTTTTTGAGATTGCATTTGTGTCGGCACACATTTGCTTCGCTTTGAGCGAAGCGTACAAATTTCAAGCGTTTACTGAAGGTCTTTTATCGATCTGTGTTTGCTGAATCTTTCAAAGCCTTCATCGTTCAAAAGTTTCGGCGGTTGTTGGTGCCACAAAATAAATTTACCGAGTTGTGTAGCTCGGCGGCCGTTGTGCCACAAAATAAAGCTACCGAGATGTGAAGCTTGGCGGCACCATTTCATCATGACTTGTGATATTTTCTGCACCGGACAAACGAGCATTTTAGGTCTATGTTATTTATTCGGCAAACTTATAAACAACCCACAGGAGCTCCACTCTCAAGTCATTGAAATCAACACATTCGACAAAATTACTGTACCCGTTGAAACGAACCACACGATATCACTAGCCTTCAAGACTCTTTATAATGATACACAATCCTTACGTTTAAAATATAATATACCATGATCAAACAGCTAGCTGTACGCCTAACAAGCACATCGAACGCACTCTCCTAAGCTCCGATTACTCCTAGTGTATACTGTAGGTGGGGCATTAGTAGGTGAAGAGCCACCTCGTGGAAGTACTACTAAAAAAATCGTTATTGTTATTATTATTACCAACTGTTATTATTATTATTATTATTATTGTTATTACTATTATTAAGTAATAAACTTCCTCGCGGTTTTTTTTTTTTCAATACTAGAAATTGTAGAGCCTCAGCGAAAGAAAAGGAAAAGGAAAAGTGGGAAGGCAGAACAAGGCACCGAAGCTGGTGAGCTATGTGCAGGCAGAACGTTTCAATTAAATCCATAGATTATGACAGAATGCTTATTTCTTTGTTCGGTGAAAATCGAAGGTCAGTTCGCTTAAAAACCTCTGAGATTGAACAGTAAGCGTAGTTGTAGAACCTTTTTATCAACGTTCGAATGAGTGAAAACCTCTGTCTCCATAGAACATTTGGACAATCAGCCAATCAAAATAACTACCCGGTTTTAGGGTAGTGACGTCACTGGACAGCATTAGCGGCTCGTTGATTCAGAAGTCTTTCTCAGGAGTTTGCGATCGACTCGAGGAGACGACTGAAATTGAGGCTAACAGTGGTTACCATAGCATCATTGTACACTGTGGTAGCTATTTAGTTCTTAGAAAGCCATGAACACAAAATTTATTTCTTTCGGTTGTCGTCTTGTATATGTAGGCGGCGAAGAATTTACGAGGAAGGGAAAGACAAGAAAAAAGCATAAAGAGAGTCGGGTAACAAAAGGTATGGTGAAAGTCACGCTTCATGTAATCCAATGATGAATGTCGACAATTCCAAAACTAATTGCCCCTCGAAAGTGACGATTATTTTTTCAGAAAAAAAAAATTAAAAATATTCTTCAACAGCAACAATTTATTGAAAGTTTAGCAGAGCGTTCAGGACCCATCCGGATTCCTTCATCATTTATGACGTTTGCTGTTATTCACAGCCTCGGTTTGATGAGACACGTGCGACACGTCGTAGCGACAAATCGCTTCGAGTGTACTGGAGAATTTTGGTGAAAATCTTTGTCGCTGCAACAGAATTTTGTCGNTGGTGAAAGTCACGCTTCATGTAAACCAATGATGAATGTCGACAATTCCAAAACTAATGGCCCCTCGAAAGTGACGATTATTTTTTCAGAAAAAAAAAATTAAAAATATTCTTCAACAGCAACAATTTATTGAAAGTTTAGCAGAGCGTTCAGGACCCATCCGGATTCCTTCATCATTTATGACGTTTGCTGTTATTCACAGCCTCGGTTTGATGAGACACGTGCGACACGTCGTAGCGACAAATCGCTTCGAGTGTACTGGAGAATTTTGGTGAAAATCTTTGTCGCTGCAACAGAATTTTGTCGCCGCGAAAAATCGCACAAATTCAGTCTGATTTTATTTTTTTCTGACTTGTTGCAGCGACAAAACTTTGTTGCGGAGACAACGATTTTCACAAAAATTTTCCAGTACACTCGAAGCGATTTGTCGCTGCGACGTGTCGCCTCACCGTGTTGCTGCAACTAGTCGCCCGACCTGTACACATGAAGTGATCTTTCGCCGTGATGTGTTGCTACAACTTGTCTCTTAGTGTGTACCGACCTTAATGTCACTTGGGGTGATCCTAATTTTAGCTTTGTTTGTCTGCAGATAGTCCGGTTTTAACTGGAGCTCCTACAATTCCTATAGAGTGCATTGATCCAGCCACTGTCTGGCACCCTTCGATGAATACCTCCCTCTTGATTCATGGTTTGTTGGGATCGCCAGGGAATTGTAACAGTGGTTCTGTTATGTTCTCAGTTAGGCCACCCTCCAGTAATCCTAGTGGTATTTTTCCCGTAAGGAGTGCCGGCCGGAACTGCCACTACGTGGATTGCAATCGGAAAGTACAATTCCTAGCGGGACGCATCTCTCTCTGGAATCGTCATTGCCTGGGATGAAGAATAAAAGTCCAGTTGTCTTAAAACTAGTACAAAATCCTGACAATCCCTTCGTTGCATGAGCCTTGGATCTGACGCAAGTCCAAGCGACTAAACTACGGCGTACATAAACGTTTGAATGATTACAAATTTTGTTATCACTGTAAATAATAATATTTTTTTTGACACGAAAAAGTACAAGTAATTATGCTGTGCGATTTGACATCGAACACGTACTAAATGCAGGCAGTCCTTCGAATCAAACTGAAATAAGTCCGTGGGCGACAATGTTACTCTGCGCATACTTGTTATGATGTAAGATTTGTACAAATTCTGATCTGTGTGTAGTGTAATCGATTTTTGTATATTTATTTCTGTAAATAATATTCAATTAAACTTATTGACACGAACAAAACTGTAATTCTGCCGTGCGATCTGTACTGTTATCGTCTTATTGTTTCCGCTTTTATAAAAACAACAACATCGTATTTAGTGCTTACTGCAGCGCAAGTTATATTAATACAGGGGGCATATACATTTATTACGCGCTCCACCACTATGGGTCAATAGTAGTAAAAAAGAGTTTTTTTCATGTTGACGTTGCCTGCTGCGTTTTTCGTATCTTTTCCAAGTACTAAGTACCCAAAAATCAACGGCAAATATGAAAAACTTCTATCATTTTTGGAATTTAGCTTTTTATGACTAGTTATAGCTATCGCTAAGTGCCAACGAGCGGTAGGCAGTAAATAAATTCCAGCGGGCAAATGAATGCAAATGCTATTCGCGCATGATGCAAATGAATCCACCCGACGATTGGTTGAAGACGGGATGAGCACGGGACTCACAAACACGCACACAGCTCGTGGATTCTCTGATCTGTGTTATCGATCGTTCGCTCGAAAACAATGCATTCTCTGTCCTGCATTACGTCATAAATGTTGCCTTACATTATACACTAAAGGGTGTATTTGTTTGGGAAAATCCAAATCCGGATTTCCGAATCCAAAAACGGATCATGAATCCATAAAATCCACACCCAGGGTGGATTCTTCGGATCAAATCCAAATCCAGATTTTTGAGATTCACAATTTTGGGAAAAGTTTTTTAAAATGTATTTTTGGTAAGCGGTTTTTCTGAAAAAGAAATGGTACGGAACAGATGCCTAACATGTATGACACTGAACCTATGTTGGTGACGACTTAGGGACCGGTCATTATTTATGTGGGGGGGTGGGGGGGGGAAAAATCATGGGGTGGGCCAGGCCTATTTTTTTTAGAGAAAAGGGGTGGGCCGAAAGAGAATTTCATGATGATTGGGGTTGGGTCATCGTGTGTTTTGTAAAGAATCACACTCACTACAATTCATGTGGAAGACCTAAATAAATTCTAATGCAATACGAAAAAAAAACTGGTGAAGAATTACATTGAGCACTTGTCGCAGCTGCAAAATGTCAATGAAATCCGTAAGCAAGAGCGAAGAAAAGAAAAGCTTGTTGGAGCCATAAAAGATGTACATTGCTATGACTGGAAAACACTTGTAGAGAAGGGGGAGCTTGACACTCTGAAAGTCCCCGAGTTGCACAAATACATTGAGCATAATAAACTTGTCAAGAACGGAAAGAAAATCGACAAAATCAAGCGAATCACAGTATACTATTATGAAACTTCAAAGGAATCTACATTTCCTTCAAGCATCAGTGTTGGTGAGGACAGTGATGAGAGTTACAGTGACAATGACCTTGTTTTGTGTGATGAAAGTGAAAGCGAAAGTGAATCAGATGATGACAGTCATACTGTAACAATACAAGAAGGCACATCAACAAGAAGTGGCCACAGAGTAGGACACTGGTCCACAAGATATGCTGATTTCGTTCAGTGAACAGGAACTCCTTATAGAGGTATAGATTGAAGGGGGTTGGGGGTGGGTCACCTCTTATATAAAGTTATATGGGGGTGGGTCAAGAATTAACTAATGGCCTTAAAGGGGTGGGTCACATTTTTTCTTTCATGCTAAAACAAAAAAAATCCCCCCCACCCCCCCACATAAATAATGACCGGTCCCTATTAAAAATTTTGAGCCATTAATTAAATATCATTCCATGTTTGTCATGTATTCAAATTGTTCGTAGACTGTTTTTAAACTCTTACTTGTCATGTTTTTTGTACGTATGTAGAGTCTGCTTTACGCCGGTTTATGTTCCAAGTAATTAAAAAAAAGAACTCCTCGGCTTCAGTTTTATGCCGGTGTCATTCTACGGTCGGCCTCGCCGCGTCAACTTATGCACCTGTCAATGTAAATCCCGTGAGGGGGGAGTGCGGGCAAGGGGCGGGGATTTTATGCCTGAGACTATCCCCCTGTCGGGCTTTTGATCGTGTGAAGCGACCCCGGGGTCGGGACATTTGACTTTGACCGACAGAAGCCTGGTATCAATTCAGAAGCGGTTACCAAGTCCGTCCCTCAAGGCTTTCTGAAAGTCACCCTGTTGGAGAAGGGTATGAAGTTAATAATGTCTATTTTGAGAAAGGTTTTATCTTCAAGTTCCCATCTGATTGTATAACTCGATTGAAATCGAATTCCACCTTGAAAGTCAGAGGATTTTTTACGGGTCACTGATCCGACCTGTTCCGACATGTTGAGCAGATGTTATAAAGCATTTTACGTTTCATTAATATTATAATAGCACAGTCAATCTTCCTGGAGTGATTTTGTTGTCAAATCAAAATAGGAGATGCTAGTGGAGAGAGAAAATACTTAATTACAGCGAGTAATTCAACGGAGCTTACGTTAACCATAAAGAAAAGTATTAAGAACGTACTTTTGAAATATTCTTTTAATTTGTTTTATATAGTGTTATAGTATTGTTTGTTTAGATTGTTTCCCCTGGGGTGGGGGCTTTTTTGACACTTTTGATCAACCTTTCGTTTCCCACCCTGGGCAATTGATAAAAAAATTTCAAAATTTGTCAAATCCCCACCCCTTGCCCGCACTCCCCCCTCACGGGGTTTACATTGATAGGTGCATTACTTTATTTAGTCTAGTTTTCACTTATTCTGTTAGCCTTAATTTCGTTACCATCTGTACTGGTCCCGATGTTTCTTAGCTATTTTATGTAGCTTCTCGTTTACTGCTCGTCTTCATGTTATTAGGCTTTATTTTATTAGTTTTGCCTTATAACCCCAAAGGCGATACCATAGCATAGGTTGGGGTTACACGGTCCCTATTTTTTCAACAGTTGGTTTTTTCGGGTTTACGTGTCCGGCTGAGGCGTGTTCTTAGAATTACTGTAACAGTGGAGTTTTTCACGTTTGTTAATAAAGTGTATCATGGGCCTGGCTGACCGACGCGCTCATGCCTCCTAGCGTTGTTTTGTTTGTTCGGTTGTGTAGCGGAGGCAAAATAGTCAGTTATCTGCTGCAGCTGCTGCCATTCTCGTTCCCAGAGCTTTCGATCCTTTTGGTCAGCGTCGGGGATCGATCCCGACACTGACCAAAAGGATCGAAGAGCTGGAAACGAGAATAGTTATCTGCAAGCAAATAACCACAGGCCATCCAACTCTGTGGGAGTTCGTTGGACTTTGAATTTTAGAAGTGAATGCATGAAAATAAACAAAATACGTCCTGTTTTTTTTTTCTTTGACAAAAAATGGAGATAAAAATGACTTACCTTGTGGTTTTGTTTTGTTTTTTACTGTCTCTTCGCCTCTAGAGCCATTTGGAAGCCGTTTTGTCGACGTTTAAGATTTTGAGTTGTACTAACAATAAGAAAAATGGGAAGGCTGAGAATTCTGCAGCCGACCATTACAGCTCGAAGCTCCATAAATCCCATAAATATAGTCTAAACTCGCCAAAATTGCCGTCAAAGGATCTGTCGATAATTTGTCTTTCCCATCTATGCTTCTGGAGTCTCGGCGGGTGAAACTAGAAATTAGAGCCGAGGAAACGGGATGCTCTCGCAGGCTAATAAATACTATGATAAGACTAGAGTAGATTTAACAGTGTGTTAGAATAATATTCCTATCCGAGTAAATAGAGTAGAGTACAAGAGAAGAGATTTATGTAAAAAAAGATAAAAGTCGAGGCAAGTCGAAATTACAGGAACTGGATCCACCAGTAGCAGGTGTGAGTTAAAGCTTTTTTATTTGAGTAAAGTGGAGCAGGTAATATTATTATGGGAAGACAATTGATAACGGGAGATTGCAGTTGAGGCGAGGAGAAAAATATGGATCATGAGGTCTGTCAGTAATACAACCAATGAGCAGAGTAATGTAGAGGAGAAAAGAGATGATTGACAATATAAGCCTATGGTAGGGTAAAGAGTCGAGTTAACATTTAGCTAATTCCCATTCCAGAAATTAGAGTAGGGTCTACAGCAGATGAAAATAGAGGGGTGGTCAAATCATGTAATAAGATTAACGTCAAGGCACGTAGAAGGGACTGAGTAAAGTTGAAGATTGCAGTTGAGGAGAGCGAAAAGGAATTGAATAGATACATGCAAGTCTGAGTAATTCCATTTTCATTCCAGCAAAAGTAGATGAGAAGAGAGATGATTATTGAAATAAATTATAATAATAGAATTGAGGCAACTGGAAATTACAGGTCGAAAAAAAAATGGACTAAAAGGTCTTGGTTAAACCTTTTTAAGGAAAATTAAATGTAGAGAGGAGAAGAAAGGAAAAGGAAAACAAGAATCGTCTGATATCAGAAAGGAAACTGAGAAAGGCATTGAAGAAGAACACCACTACAAAAATCTTTTAGTTTTCGGCACACAATATTAATGGGATCAACAGTCTTTCATGTGGCCAAACATGTGCTTTCTATAAAACAAGTTTAGTCTTCTTTTGACATTTATTATGACTAGCATCCATGAGATGCTGAGAAGCCTTGAGAAAACATGGCCAACCTGAATTTAATTCTGCAGGGGAGATAGAGATTAACTTGGCTTTAACTGTGTGCTGAACTTACTGACATACATGTAGTTTTCAAATTTACTTGGAAACCATTACAAGTTCCATGAAAAAATGAATTTCTTCATTGTTTAATAATACAATCTCATGTGAGTTCATTTCTTATGAACAGTAACAATGATGAAAATGTTGATTCCTCTAAGTAACCTCAACTAAAAGATAACCATTTCAGTTGTTCCTTGAAGGAACTTCAGATAATGCAGCTTACGTAACCAGTGGCGGATCCAGGGCAGGGGCCTGGGGGGCCCGAGCCCCCCCCCCCACCCTCCGCTTATGTTTAGACCAAAATGAGGCCCGAAGGGCCGAACAAAATTTTTTTTTGAGGCCGCCCCCACTTCTTATCTCAGAGTCTAGATGACCGCCCCCCCCCTAATCTGAAGGCCTGGATCCGCCACTGGTAACTCCTCAGTATCTTGCGCATTTAACTTGTGGATGTCTTTCACCCACGAGCAGTGGATGAGGGACCGGCCTTTCCCTCTCCAATTTCTATAGTAGTCTCTAAATCCACCTGTTACCCATTCCTAGAACATTATTTTGGGAGGTTAAAAAAATACACAACCATTACATACATGTATACAAATGTATATTTCGATTTTATAATATTAATAGTTCAAGGTCCCTATCGAGACTGCAGAGAAACAGAAAGCAGGTTTGAAGGACCACAACAACAGAAGTTATGGATACTTGTTGTTTCAAAATCGGCAAGTTTATTATCTAAGGAGACATTACTTAGTGGCAGACTTTTACAGATTAAGAAACTGAATTTCCCTTTACAAAATCAATAACTTTTCACCTGCTATTCACTGTACTCACACCCTTCAAGCAGAGCCTCATTTTGAGCAAGCAATAAAAAGATTGTGCTGGCAGGGTGCTTCACTCACTAACAAGCTTGTAATTCATTTTGATCATGATGGCTGCATGATAATGTTTCTTTCAAAATCATACAGACTGTGGCTTCATGCCCTCAATGATCTGATTGAGAGCCACAAGAAATGCAATGCAATCATTAGTTGCAAAACTCATAAAGTTACGGTGGTGAGTTTTGAAAGGTACATAAGCAGTGGAAGTGAAGCCATGCCATTTAAAAAAAACCCTTTCACTCCTAGTCTAAACGTACAGTGACATGTATGTTATGGTGAGACTATTTGTTACTTTAACTTTTCTATCTGGGGATGAAATTCTGTGATGTCACCATGCACATGAAACCTATACTATATGGCAGAACTTTTCTGTAAGACTCTTTTCATTTCTCAGGAATTTACAAGTAAAAATTTGAGTTTTTGTGTGAATTTTTTGGACCACTATTAAGAAGTGATGGGTTAAACACCCCCAATCTTGTTCTTAAACTTATAGCTCTTATTACTCTTCTACTTTTTGTTTATTTTCTAATCAAAAAAGTTCTATTTTACTCTTCATTGTCTGCTGGCTTGTTTTCATCTCTTGAGTGTTTTAGCTTCTCTGTTAGGATCCCTGATTTTTTCTTTATGTCTCCTTTTCTCCACAAAACTATTTCCTTTAAGAGACAAACAGAGATGGATGATGTTAATACTGTGTGTATGCCCTACTACATTGTAATTAAATACCTCTTTCATTGGCCCCTTATCTTAAACACCCTAGGCCACTAGAGGATTCCCTACCTATGTTATCTATATGCCACTTGTATTTATATTTAATTGTACCTGTAGACCTGTAGGCAAATGGAAGAAACTTAAAATTCAAATAAAAATAAATTAATTTTTCTGCATGACCAACTTTTCTTTATATCGATATCCATTCACTACTGTAAAGCAGTAGCCTGCACCACAGAAAAAACCAAACTCTGGTTAAGTCTGTCTGCAAAACAGCACCAAAATCCTTATTCTGGGGCCCCATCTGTGTACCAGGATTTGATTACTTGCCATGATTGGCCTGTCAAAAAAGACATTGCCGATTTGCCAATCACGATGAAAGTAAATTTGAAACGCACTTCCGGTAATTTGTTGAGTCCGTTGGGGCCCAGAACAAGGATCTCGGCACTGCTTTGCAGACGTTGCTAACCGAGATAAAATTATGTCTGTGACACTGGCTAGTAATACAGTCATCCCCTCTATACATCTTTTCGACCAAAACAGGGTTCTTTTACGTCAAGAAAGCAGTGTTTGCACTGTACTGTATGTCACTGCATGCAACCATTCATTATTTATTTCATAAACCGGTTAACATGTTAACCGGAGATAAATGTACTGTTTGTGATTATGTATTGATAGAGAAATTAAATGCTACTTACAGGGTTTCTAACTACTAAATAGGGAGAAAGAGATTCCAATATTTTTCAGGAATACAGGGTTCATACAAAAATTTACAACCATTTTTAAAGGACTTTTCAAGGGCTGCATTCAATTTTCAAGGTTCACCTACCAGGAATGTAATATCACAGATTGTACAAAAAGGCACATTCCCAGTCCATTCTAATAGGACAGCGCGCAAAGAAAGTAGTGTCCGATAGCATGGGGCTAGTGGATTTTGTTATAGGGCTAGTCAATTCTGTTTTTAACTTGTCCAATGCGCAAGTGATGTTTTTTGAGGAATTCGAATAACAGAGAACTGTGAAATCAATTCTGCTGGACAAAGAGTTTTTGGGGCTTGTTAAAATGACGTCTGGGCTAGTAAATGCTGCTTCAGCTTTTCCACATGGCAAGCTGTAAAAATGATTTCCTTTGCACCCTGTAGGACGTTTACGGGTTGAACTGCTTCCTTCACCAACTTCTCAACATTTTTCAGTTCAGTTGATTAAATTGATCAATAGTTAATTCTTGCATAAAACAACAAATATAAGAGATAATACAAAAGAAAATGCAAGGACTTTTCGAGGACTTACACAGAAATGTAAGGACTTTTCAAGTAAAAATAAAATTCAAGGACTTTTCAAGGACTCCTCCTTAAATTCAAGGACTTTTCAAGACTGTGTGAACCCTGGAATGCCACGGTAGAAAATATGCTCCAGTGCCTATAACTACACTAGAAGCTGGTTAATATGCTGAAAATGGAAATGGAAATGCCATAACAATTTATGTAACACAACGGACATGACAAATAAAGCCACAGCTTTATAGTGGAGGAGATTATTTAACAGTAATTTGCAGTCTGTCTTCTTTGAATTATTAATAATAAAAGTGGCATACCTGCTGCTTGAAGTATCTTCTTTCTTCTTCATCAACTAGCACAAGATTTAAGAAGTACCTCACAGAAAACTTTTTGTTGACATCTTTAAAAGTTGGTGTCAGTTCATAACCAGCAAGGAAAAGTCTGATAGGTATAGATTCTCCTAAAACAAAAAAGAATATACATAAAACAAAATTAATGTAGCTGCTAGAAAAGAAACACACTTCATTGCCAAATTGGGGCTAAAAAAACCCTAAAGTGACTTCTGCTAAACTGCTAGATTGTTGTTACTAGCTACTTCATATTTCGTGAAAACAGAGATAAATGTCTTTTTAGCATTGTACATGTAGGGCCATTTACATGTACCATGAGACCTGGGACTTCAAGTAGAGTCCACCCTTAGCTTTGATGAGCATATTACAAAACCTGTTTTGTCATGTTTACTGCAGTTGGTAGTTTATGTCGGATAAATAGGGTGAGACATCTTCTCAACACCAGGACATTGGAGAAGGTTCTAAATACGTTGGTATTTTGAAGATTATACTATTGTTCTACAGTATGGTCTAGCACATCAACTCTAGGAAAATTAATATCTCAAAGCTGCAAAAAATCCAGAATTATTTTGCAGCAAGAATTATAACTACAGCTGTGTAATAACATGTTTTCTTGACCATATAACACCACTTATTCTGGAGTGAGGTAGGTGCTCATGCATTAAAATGTGTAAGATGCTGTCCCTGTAGGGCTTCGCATGTATGTGCAAGATGTAATGCTTGTTATGCTGGCGAAACCAGCCAACATTTTCTCCACACTGATACGCAAACACTAACTTTCCAACAGATTGTTTTAGACGTCTACAGAGTTCAGAGTTTTGTCGAACATCCTGCACACTGGACTCCTTCAAGATCTTTGACTCTGCAGCTACTAAGTACTGAGTTAAGCTTAAGGAATCCATGTAATAAAATGGGAGAAAACCGACCTCAACCGGCAGGTGAAACACATAAACCTGCCTCTCTCCCTTTAAGTCCCTTGATGTCACTAATTGAAACTTTGAAGTATGCAACAAACTTGGTAACACTGCCCACGAATTAAATTCAAGAGCAATTTCACAATAATTATGTAACACTGAAGATGACGCATACATGTACATGTACTATTGAAACACGTCTGGTAAATTAAAGAAAGTTGTTTTGATAATGCGGCTATTATTCTTAACCTTTTAATAAGAGATTAGTTTGAGCCTGTCCAGCTAAGGAAAGGGTGCAAATAAATTAGTTACCAAATCTCCATTTGTACTAAGTAACAGCACTACAGCATTAGGAAAATCTCAATTATAATTACTGTTGATCACAGCTACTGTAGGGTGTGAGGGGTTATGGGAAACCTGAGAAATGATTCAGGGGCAATACCTCTGACTGGTGCTCCATCCATGATTTCATATTTGGCAATTGTTTCATTTTCATTGTAGGTATTGGGTCCTAAAGAAAAAAAAAAAAATGAATAAAAGAATGAGTTACTATGACCAATATTTGAATATGACAGTTTCATAAGTTTAAAACTTCTTTACATCATCAAGCTGTTTGGAAATAAACCAGTATGTTATAGACATTCACTACTGAATGTTATCTGATAAATATTTACTGTAGCCACTATTGTATGATTTTTTTGTTACAGATCAAAATTAAATTAAGGTAAAATTTTTTTCACCTGGGTTGATTCTCAATTTCTCTTGTCTCGTAGCCCTAACTATTCATGAATTATGGCTAGGAGACAAAGGAAACAGAGAATCAACCTGGGTTAAAAGATTTTAACCTGAATTTAATTTTGACCTGTGACACATGCACCAGTACTGTAGCTGAAGAACTACATACTGGTAACGATAATCACTCTGGGGAAAAGGGCTAATAACAAAGATGACAGAGCACGGCTGCTAAGATTCATACATTGAACATCAACAGAAGAGATGACTCCTGTAAACTTTTCATTTTCTGTTACCTAATGTACATTGTACAACTTGACTTCCAACCGCAGTATTAGCTATACTATTAAATTAAGCAAAAGTAACTAGATCATCATAATAACAATAAAAGATCTACCTGTGCCAGTTGTTTCCCTTTTGATAATTGCTAACTCCATGTGTTTTATCTTGATCCGCACAAGAAGAAAATAAATCTTACCCACAATTACATCCTTCAAGTGATATCTGGATAAAAATTCACTTAAATTAGAACTTAGATGGACAAGCATTATTGAAGTAAAAATATTGTTAATGATAAACATGTTAAAAATGGTTTGTAGAGAATCTGCTACGTATGTGTGAAAGTAAAGGGATGCATTAGAGTAAAACATTTTAACTTAAAGTTCAAGCAAAATTCAAGAACTACAAAAAAGGCTGCACCATCTGAAGTATTATTGCAAGCAAATGTTGATATGAAAACAAATCACTAATAATGAGCAAAAGGTATTTCAGAGACCTTTAAAAAATTGGCCAATATTCTGGAAGAGTAAACACCAAAGTCAGGCAATATCTTTAATTTCAGAAAATGCATGTACCAAGTACAACGTACCAGCATGTTTAGTGCCTTCATTGGTAGTAAAGTGTACAGTGTTTGACAAGAACAATTAGTAAAAGCAATAGTGTCTTCATTGCAGCAAGCCAAACCAAGACAATGATATAAATGTACAATGTAACAGCAATCACATGCCAGCTGCATAAACATCTGCTGTTACTTGATCTTACTTTGACTTGTTGTATTCAAATTCTATATGCAAACAATCTTCAATTCCAACTTCCATCTTGATGCTAAAAGAAACAACACCATAATTAATGATCTATATTACGATGATTTCATCCTACATGTATTGAATTGTATATTGCTATTTTTAATATCCACAATAATAATTATCTTGCAACCCAGCACTTATGCCCAAGCATCAGAATAATCGAAATGAACAGAATCATCAGAATGGAAAACCTAAGCCATCGAAAAAGAACCTGAAAATATTCAAGCCTAAATGCTTCCGAGTTCTTTTTCAACCACTTACATATATGAAGATGAAATGATCAGTCACAAGAGTGGGACAAAGAAAAAATCCCCAACCGGATTCAAACCTACATGTATGACCTCCCAAGCACCGGGCGGGCGCTCTGTCCACTTTGAGCAACGGAGAACTCATATATTGGCTTAGAACCTTTCTTTTTGTTATATATTTTAATTAGTACCTGTTATTCATCTCAGGGAAGCTTGACAGAGTGTGGACTGCAAGATCTAACTCTTTAGAGATGTCACTGATTCGCCTGATGATGGAGACTCGCAGGAAATACCTTAAGACAGTGCAAAATCAAAGAATGACTATCAGTGAATAGGGGGTTACAAAATTCATTAATATCATTACAATAAGCAAAGATAGTATTTCAATGTACATGAGGCAGCGTTTCATATACCATTTCAATGACCATTTCAACACATAGTGATAGAGCATATTTACAATTTTTCTACAACTTTAGCAGGGCTGTCACTCATATTGAAATTTAAATTGTAAATTAGAATATTTTCTAGTTGCCTGGTCAGCAATTACATAGGCAGGGACTTATACAATTAGGAAGTTCTTTTGGTTCCAAATTCCTTTAGTTCTTATAAGAGTAGACAGGGGCAGGGGCAGGGAAATCTCCCAACACTCTTATTGACCATCCTGTTTGACGTACTTCTAAATGTAGGATTTTGCTTCTCAAGCATTGCAGAAAGTACAAAAATGACAGGTGCAGATCTTGAATAATCCTGATTGACATCCTAAACAAGCACCAGAAGGGCAAGCTTCTAAGGGGGGTCCAGTGACATGCTCCCATTCAGACAGGATATTTAGTGACTGTCCAAACCATTTTCCAGATTTCAACTTGGAAAGTTTTGTTTTTTCCTAAAAACATATTTATTACAAAGAAATTCTGACCGATAAGTGTGAAACGGTGGAAACTGGTATAGATCCACACCTGAACGATCTAAGTAAGTTTGCAATAAAATGTTACATGTCCATTTCATGGCGTGTTCCATTATTGACTAAGTAATGTCTGATTGAACTTGTCTTGCTATGGTGCAACAAAAATAATAATTATTTCAAGACAAGTTGCACAAACATTAGCAAGTGTTACATGTACTATAGCAGTGTCTCAAATGAGATGACATATAGTTACCTAGTAAAAGGGTACAAACTCACCTTAGCCTGACATTTGCTCCTGTGTAAGTTTCATAAGGCTTCTCCACATTGACAAACTCAAAATCATAATTTGTACTCTGTGTCAACTCTCCAGGGGGTGCCAAATCTCTTACTAATGATGTGAATTCATGATGATTACCACGGTCATAAAAAAGCTCTGAAAATAGAGAGAATAATGATTGCAGACTTTAAAAACACATTATATTTCAGACCAAATGTTTCTGAAATGTAGTTGTGACATCTTCCAAAGTCATTAAAATGGCAAAGGCCCATTCCTTTAAAGTCTTCACCTGGTAATTTTTTAGGCATAGCCATTTTATGCGCATAATGTTTGTATCAAAGATTCACTATTGAATGTCAGGTAATAAAATATTCTTAATATTTATTTTTTTACTATTAATAAAACAAAATACAGGTATATACTTCATTTTTGTTCTGGACCAAAACTCATTCCAAAACTGTGTAGATTTATAAAGCGCATCCCTGACCTAAAACCTTCCAGGACTTTCATCAAATTAATGAACCCACTATGACAAAGTGCCATTGAACATACAGCAGCCTCAATTAAAAAATCACACAATGTTACATCAGTGTAACAAAATAACATACACACAATCTCTGCATACCTATCTGTCCGACAAACTCAATTTTAATTCCATGGTGTTCCAGTTTCTTTCCAGGAACTTTCAGCTTTACATTCACCTTTTCAATAAAAGAGAACAACAATATCACAAATTAAATAATTGTAATGAGAAGTATTCTACACTAAGCCTTAATTCATCAGTCTGGTTCAGAAATACAACATAGTATTATTTCACTGGGACAAAAGCATAATTTGTAGAAATCATATCAGACTGTCCAACCTTTTGGGTATATAAAGAGGGTATGTAAAATCAAGATACTTTTTAACCACCAACAAATCACACAAGCGCTAAAGGTGTGAGCTGCTAGAGGGGTCTTGCTAAATCGATTGCCATACTTTTGCTTATTTTAGTACTTGATTTTATTGTAAATTTCATACATTTTTTATGATTTCTAGCTATTAGTTTCAGTTAAGACAGTAACTCTGTGAGTCTAGGTGTTCTTGTATAAGTATCATAAGAATTCATTTGAAAATATAAAAACAGATATCAAAATCAGGATTTTTCCTATCGCAACTGCAGATTGGTTGGGATTTGGGGTTTACAAGCAAAATCGGGAGAATTCTTATGAAATCAAAATGGTGTGACAGTCTGCATTAAATGAACAATTTATGTTAATGACATGTTTCTGGACACCACTGAGTAAAGCACTTAAAAACTAAGGGCCAGGACATACATATAAGAGGACATAATTACTGCAGGGACATTAGCAAGGACACATTGCAGGAACAAGAAGATATCCATGCAGCCTGGGAGGATAGCACTGCTGATGCTTCATGCAAATGCAACTTGTTTCTTTTTTTCATCTGGACTTTCTTTTACTGGTATTTGTTTATTTGATACTCCCTGTAAAGCCCTAATTAGGGCATCTACACCTGTAACTGTCTTTGTAACCGATATGGTGGGTAACTGATCAAAATTAACATGACAAAATAACTGCCAGGGCATTTGCCCAGTGGGGGCAGGGGGAATGGGTGTTCTTGGAATAATGACACCTTTAACAACAAATGTTAAATCCACAAATAAATGTAAGTTTAACTAGTACACCATAATATCCTTCTTGTTTACATCAGGCCCTACCAGGGGGGGTCCCATGTAGCTCGTCTGAATTTTAAAAAGCCTTGTGTGGGTGTTTATAAATGCTTCACGTCACTGTCGGAAATTAAACGAAAATTCTTTGCCTTTGTCGGAATTTTAGAAAAGGGGGATAGTGATGCGCTGTGAAGAAACCATTACAGTTCTGCAATTTCTCAGTTAACATTTCACATATCAAACACCTATACATTGCCATTCCACAGTTAACACAATTCACAGGAGGGTGACCACCGAAGCTCATTGACAAGAGATGTACAGCGCAAGGAAAATTGATGAAAATTACTTCTTCTCGGCATTCAGACTGGTGATAATAAGCCAAGCCACCATCCTTTGTCGCTTATTCTCGGCTTTGCAGTCACTGTCGCCATTTGGCCAAAGGAGGTTGTCTCTTGTCGTGATTTCATTTTACGCTCTGTCACTACTTTTTGGGTCATGTCGCTTGTCAGAATTTACCCTGGCAGGGCCTCTTACATGAAATTGCTAATCCAAGTAATTTGACACTGCATTATGTAGAAATTAAACATACCACAATTTGCAAAGTAGTAAAATGTCAGCCTGCCTACACTACATGTACGCTTACATAAAATGGATTTTAAGGTTTAGCAACTTCCAAGTCGATCTGTAAACATTACATGTTGTATGTCTGCCTTCTGTCAACGCAGGATTGCTGTCAAATGGCTGGTGCGCGGATTGAAATCTTTACGTGTGTGCACAGCGATTATTTGCACCAATTTACCTTCATTTTTAGGCCAAGAATTTGTGCGCCATTCCAATTGTAACCATGGAATAACCAAATACGTAAATCACAATGATCAGATCTCAATACTACTAATT